GCTTTTACATGGCACCATATGGGCTCCCAGGAACTGCCTGGCACAAGTGATGGGCTTCCCCAGTGCTCTTTTGTTAGACAGTGCTATTGAACTAAACTTTTCTAACTAAAATTTGACAGGGTGAAAAACTGTCCATTGAGCAGCAGCAAAGTGCAGGTACTGACACAAAGTAAATATCCCCAGGTGACAAGCAGTGAGGTCCCTTGCATGCAATATGATGGAAAGGAGTTGCAAATGCTGTGCTGGATCACTTCACAGCATCCAGCACTACATGTTGGTGAGAAGTAACAATTTTAAGTCCATTTTAGCAGGGGATAACTTCTCATTACAGTTTTCTCTCCTTTAAGCATGCAGCACTGCCAAAGTTTAAAGTCTCCTTGTTTCCACCTAATGGGAAGTGTTTTATTAATTGTTCTAGTGTTAACTCTCAAACCAGTATGTGCTGTGTCCCAGAGACGTCCAGCTGTGGGGATGAGGAGGTAGCAGCACTGGTATGGCCCTAGGGACACTGATGCAGCCAAACTGCAACCTGCAGCCCCAGACCTGTTGCAGTAGAACTGGCAGCCATAAAAACTTTATGATTCCTTTGCACCTGTTATGCACCACCCAGGTCCCTTTGCTCTTGTTCCATGCTTTATTCTCCTTTCCACTTATAAATCATGTGTGACTTCATAGGAAATGGGCTGTGAATTGATCAGCTTTGCAGCTTTATCTAATTTAATCAAAACCCAATATAAAATGGAAGCAAGTGAGGGAATCTCAAAAGTCCAGTGGAAAGCCTGTGTGTAACAAACCTCCCTGTTGCGATGAATGACATTGCCACAACTTGTGGTGGAATGCTGGGGTCGTCTAGAGCTGTGGTGCTCTGGGAATAACCCGGGCCCTGCTGCAGCCGCAGGGCTGAGCCGTCCCACAGATGCACCCGAGTGGGAGAAGCAGTGTCACAGGCTGACACTTGCTGGGATCGCAGCCCCGGGCTCTGCATCAGCTTGCCCGCAAACCTTCATGCTTCATCTCCAGCACTGGCCCTGCTGGCACAGCTTCCCCAAGAGCAGGGATGGTCTCTCAGCTCATCATGTCCCATTTACCACTCCAGAGCCTCCAAGCGATTGACAGCAAAGCCATTCACCCACCACCTGCAGGCAAGATGAATTTTTTTTGATGGCAAGCAGAATAGCACTTGGGCTGGTGGGGATTGGAGACTGCAGGCAGGGCTTGGCTGATTCTCACAGTGATTTGGAGAGGGTGATGCTGATAAGGCAGAACTGGTCCTGTAGAAGCTGCTGGGTCCCAGCAGTGAGAGCAGAGATGCAGCCTCCAAAATCTCTAATTGGCAGCTCTGGGAGGCAACACTGGCCTCAGCTCCAGTACAAGACAGGAGGAAGAAGAAGACTCAGGCATGTGGGAATATTGTGCCCAGGGGAGGGGAAAAAGAGGAATAAAACATGCAACGTGGGTGAGAAAGAGCATTTCAAAAGAATGCAGGACAGCCCTGCAGCTGTGATGCCATCCACTCAAGTCTGTCCTTTCCAGATACATCTGCACTAAAGAAATAGCCTGCACTGCACTCAGGCTGGGTCACAACTCACTTCTTGCGTTGTAAAGATGCATTTCATCATCTCAGTGTGGAAACTACCTGGCCATGGCTATTATCAGAGCTCTGGGAGGAAAAGGAGCACTGTGCCAGAGCTGCAGTTCTTTACACAATTACACCGGTGGAACCTGAATTTAATTTTAATTAATTTATTTATTTTGGAGCCATGGCAAGAAACAAGAGGATAAAGGAAAGGAAGGGAGGAAAGGTTAGAGAGGAACAGTGTTTGGGACAACAAATCCACCTATTTTGGTGCAAGTGTAGAATGCAAAGCCCAGACCTGACATCTGGAAACTCAACGGAAGTTGTCTTCATCCTGCTGAGTTTGCTCATTGTCCAGGAGGACAACACATTTCATCATTTCATGCTGCATGGTTCTCCTCTCCAGCCTCAGCCCTGGGAACTGCTTGTCTGCAGTGCCAGGACACCCCAACACCACTATCCATGTGCCAGTTTGGGAAACAGCTGCGAGTGCTGAGCTCCACACAGGCTGAGTGTGAAATCTTGCCCAAACACCAAGCCATTATTCCACAGCCATTATCCCTCCTTATATGTTCTGCGTGCTCATTGCTCATTGGGCTTCTGGTGAGCGCATGGTGCAGTTTATGATCTTGGCTTTGTTTCAGAAAAAAAAAAAAAGTAATACAAAACCCCCCTGGATTGCTTTTTGGAAATACAATAGGAGTCAATAGGAGAGTGGCTCCAGCAGAGCACACAGCAGTCCTGAGTAAAAAACCCACATGTGTTTCTCTGAAGGAATCTGTGACCAGGTGATCCTAGTTACCCTTTGTCCCTCAGCACTATCCTCACCTCCAGCCCCAGTTGTGGGACAGCCCCAAAGCTGTGCCCGCTGGCTCTGCTCCAGCACAGTGTGAGAGCATCGTGCCCATCCCCACCCCATCAGTGAAACTTGCAGAAATCAAGACATTATGGTCAGCGACAAAGGCAAGGAAAACTTTTACCGATTCAGCTTCTCTTTTATTCGACTCCCTGGAGCAAAATCCTGAGCATGCGCTTGAAGCCAAGCAGCAGAAAACAAAGCCTGCCTTTAGCAGAAGGTGTTTAAACACAAGGAATCAATTGCATTAAGTGCAAATTCATCGGCTGACACCAGCATCTGGGGGCAGAGTGGCTGCTCACTGCAGTGTGTGATGCTTTGGGCTGCAGGGAGCAGTGGCTCTGTGTTTGTTAGTGCTCTAGGCCAGTAACGGTGTCCAGATACGGCTGAAGACTGATGGATTAATGCTGCCTCCCACCAGTGCAGCCCGTGATCCATCAATTACCTATCTGCTTAGTCCTTTTCTCCATCCTTTTACAATCTAAATAGTGCATTTTATAGTCACTGCTAAGTGATGTGATCAACATCAATTACCTACTAAAAGAGAATCAAGTCCCGATTTAAAATTAAGTGTCGCATTTTGCCATGTTCTTTATATGTAGCCAACAGAATAATTGCAGTGACATAAAAACTAATTACACAATTCCACAATTAGGCCTCCCTCCTAGCGCTGTGATTGCCTTTAAGTACATTGATAAAAAATTATTCCCAGCCCCAAATTATTCTCTCACACCCATCTTCTGGAAGAACCCTCTATCCCATCAGATCAAACAGGCATTGTTGAAGAACTCAGTCTTGAAATGCAAAAGATAATGCATGCAGAGCGTGTTTCTTAAATCTCTTTGATGTGTGAGTGATTTCAGAGGAGGGGATTAGGCTGGTATTGCCCGCGGATGCAGCACACTTCTCTCTGGACCAAGCATCTGAGTGAGACTTCACAGGCTGCCTGGGGCTGGCATCCGATGCCGTCCCACTGAGATCAGTGGCACAGGCTCCCACCTTTCACTGCAGCTCCCAAGCGCCCAGAAGAGGCTGTGGGTCTACAGCAGCCATGGGCATGCCCCAGAGGGTTCAATTCTGCTCCACCATCATGGCTCAGCTCCTCCCATAGGGGCTAGGTCCACAGCCCAGCTCAGCTCAGCCACCCCCAAGGCAGCAGTCACTGCAGCTCTCCCTTCCCTGAAAGCTGGAGGATGTTGGGATTCATATTTTATGCCAGATCCGTCTTTCAGAAAAGGAGGATTTCATTCTCAATGCTACAAAAGATTTCCAATAAAACCCCAATAAACAGGAGACCTGAGGCGGAGCTTACGCAAAGAAGCTCTTTGCCTCCTGCTGGTGTTCCTTCAACACCCGCTGCCTGAATCTTATTTTTAATCTACTATCTGCAACAGAGCAATTACAACCTGCAGCCAAGGTTCTTTGCTGCCCGAGGATGGAGCACAGAATTCCCTTGGGCTGTGCTGGACAGACGGATGAACCCCTTGTCACACCTCCATATCAGGGCAGGGTGTTCTTAGCAGTCACCAGAAAAAGGGTCAGCAGCCATAGCAGTTTGCAACCCACCATCCCACTGGATGCTGCTCTCACTCTGGCTTATCCCTGGTTCTGGAACTCCCAGCCAGCGTCTGCGGGAGGACTTCAGCCCAGAGGGGTCAGGTCCTGCCCAGAGCTGGAGGGAGCACTGCTTGGTGGAACAGGAGATGGGGGAAAAGGGCTGCAGCACCTGGTGCTTCAGCTCTGCGCATTCAGACACCAGAAGCTGCGCCTTGCCAAAAATCTGGCAAAAAAAACCCATCACGTACCTGAAAAATCATGGCACTGAAACCCAGTAAATCTGTGAGGCACTTCGGATAGGCTTAGTGGCCTTCGATTCTGAATCTGAGGTGTTTATATCCGACCTGGAGAGATTGAAAACATTTCATTTACTTTGAACTAACGCCGAGACTTTCCTACAATCAATCACTTGATCCTGGAGGCACACAGAACACACGAGGTGTGAGAGAGGAGGACTGAATTCTCACCTATGGCAGCACTTGGTGCTGTGCCTGCCAGAGCTCTCATCACTGCTGATGGCTGAGGGGTAACACCACCCGTGGGTGAAGCTGTTTGCTGATGGCCACAGCTTGCTGCTCTCTCCTCCATTACACTGTGCAGTCAGTGACCTCCTGCCTTCCTTTGGGGAGATGCCAGGTGCCAAGCCTGAGATTAACACCCTTCATTCTCCCTTGGCGTCTGCCTCAACGTGGCTGAGGAGTGCAGGAGGCAGAACCACGGCAAAGGGCAGACCCACGGCAGGTCATGAAACCAGCAGCCTGGGGGAACTCTTGCAGCGCTCTTTTGGCCCTTTTCACTCTCCTGTCAGCAGTGGACGCGCGGGCCCTCGGGCAGTGACGCGTCCCCTAGCCATGCCGCAGGGAAGCGACGATCAAGGAGCAAATCTGCCTCTCTCCCTGACTTCTACTGCTTATGTGACTTTAACTGGGCTGACGACCGCCTCTAGAAGCACTACGCTCGCACACAGCCACAAACGGAGGGCGGAAGGAGGAGTCTCTACAGTGCAGCCGCCCCTCAGCCGTGTTCCCGCCCTCAGCCGTGTTCCCGCCCTCGGCCTGGCGGCGCGTGCGCAGTGCGGAGCGGTGAGTGGGGGGTGCGGCTTCTGTGCGGGCCGTCCCGCGGGGCTCGGTTGTCCCGGGAGTGGATTCGTTCCGCTCCGAGGCCGTGAGGGCCGGCTCTGCGGTTCTATAAAGGAGCCTGTCGGACGAAGGCGGCCTCTCGTTTTGTAGAAGCAGCCGAAAAAAGGCCACGCAGAGCGCTGTGAGAGAGCTGGGTTGTGGCCGCAGCCCTCGTGCCCTCATGGCGGCGGAGTTCGGCCGTCCGCGCACGCGGGCTCCGCTCAGGAGGTTTCGTTCCGAGCGCAGCGAGCTGCGGGGCTGGGCTGCGGCTCTGCACTTGTGTGGAACTTACACGGGGCTGTCGGCCCGCGCGGGGCTCTGTGCGCACTGCTTGGGGCGCTGCCGTGCAGCTTCGGCTGTGTGTGACGAGCGGTCGTGGCTGGGCCTGCCTTACAGCCGGCCCGGGAGCAGACAGTTGATCGGTTTAATCACTCCGCTGTGGTGAAGCTGAGGCGAGGAGCGGGCGGTGCTCTGTCATCTGCCCCAGTGCTGCTGCAGCCCTCCTGCTCGCTGTGGGTCCATCTCTGCTCTAGGGGTAGTGCTGGCAAGGGCTGGGCTTCGTGCTTTCTCTTTCCTCAGCCTTTACAATGGCCAGGCTGGCTTGCATTCTGAGCCACCTGCAGGGCGGTGCTGTGGTGGAAGCGCCCCAAATATTGTCCCAGAGACCTCTGCCAAGCACCAAGTGCAGCTGGAGGAGGTAGTCTGCAGGTTCCTTCAGCACGGCTGCGTTTTTGCAGGCTTGAAGGGACACAGATATTTTCCTGTTACACAAATCAGCTGGAAACAGGCGATTCCTGCTGTCTTCAGCACTGCCCTGGGCCCGCAGAGTGGTCCCCATGCCTTGAAGGAAGCTGGTTTGGTTCTGCCACTGCCATCTCCTTTCTCACTGTTGAGAATTTCTTTAGCGTGAGCAACAAAACGCTTCACAACCTTTCCGTGGCCCCTGAGCCCTTCCTCTCTCTGTTCTTACCTTGCAAGGACGTGGAGGACTGATAAAATACTGACGTGGTCAAGCTCTGCAGATGTGACTGAAACGTATCAACTCTACCTTGAGAGTATACAAGGCAGTGGGTTATTGCATTAAATTTAAAGATAGCAGTCAGCTGTTCTGCGTGCTGATCCTCTCCGCTACTGACTGTGGCTTTCATAACCCACCTCAGCTCTGTTACCGCTCAGGTTTCCCCTCTGAGAAATAATATTTAACTTTCGCTCCTAGAATAGATGAATCAGCTTTAATTAAGATTTGTCGAGCACTTTGTTGATAAGCTCCCTATAAAGCTGGTTATTATTTATTATTAACACACAGATATTCTTGGCGCCTGAGATGTGTAATGCCACAACACGGGATCCTCTGGGAAACAGCCATGTGGAAAGAGACAGCGTGGGTTAAAGGCTTTGTCAAATCTTCTGGCTGCGGTTCGTGAGGCAGCGTGCTCCCAAAGCTCTGATCCGAGAAAAAAAAGTCCTCTTTGAGTTACTGTGGAATCTTAAATGTTCCTTGAAGTGATGTTCTAGTTCTGCGAAGGACTTGTAGATCTTCCGCCACTTGCTGGATTGCTGATAGAGCCCTGGGTCAGGGCTGTGCTGAGTTTGATGCAGCTGTGTGTGTACTGTCAGCTGCAGGGGCACAGCTGCTCTGTGAAGTACCTTGACACAGTGAGCCCTGAGATCCTTGCAATGCTTTTGGTAGTGATTGCTGCTGATTCCTTTGGAGTGATAGGGAGCTGAGCTAGTTGAGGACCCTGACAGGCCGCAGCCTGTGGCACAGGTTGGCTTGGTGGCAAGTTGAGCTGGAGAGCTCCATTTATGAAAGGTAACAAAGGTATGAATTGGAATGGGTATGGCTGTGCTTGTTGCTGTGTGGGTGCCCTTTCAGCAGTGTGAGCAGCTCTATTGTATTTTTGGGAAGAGAAGGCTGTTAATTTAGCTCTTAAATGTCACTGCTGTAGTGGTGTAGGAGTGGCCAGATGGAGGATGCTAAAATAAAATATGGGGCTGGAAAAGCCGCCTTGTCTATACCCCTGTCTTGAGGCCAGCAAGAGATGCTCAGAGTGATGCCCAGACCAGGTCTCACAGGGCACTGCTCGGTGCCCTAGGGGCTTCCATGTCCCCAGCTGTGGGTCTTGTGCCCTCACAGTCAGGGTGAGCTGTGATCTGCTGCTGCCCAGCTCTCCTTGCCAGCTTGCTCTGTCTTGCCTTTAGCAAACAGGGAGACCAAACTGATTGTTGTCCTTTTAAGCAGCTGTTGGTGCTGCGAACTGATAACAAGTCTGGAGGGCAGCAGGAATGGGGAAAACCCTTCAACACTTCCTTCAGGCTGCATGTGTTGTACCAGTGACTGCTCCTGTTGTGGCTCAGCCCTGGTAGTTTGTGACTTCCTAAGAGTGATACCAACATCCAGTGTGGTCTTCCTGCTCTACTCCCCCCTGCTTAGTAATTCTCTTTCTGGTCCTAGGGAATTATGAATGTTACGCAATTAAATCTTAGACTGATTTCTAGCTCTTTGCACTTGGAGCTGTGGTGCCACAACATTGACACATTGCATTTTCAGTCTAGTCCCTGATTTTCTTTAGCATTACTTCTGTCTGGAGTTTTCCCTCATGCTGTATTTGTGTATCTGATCTCTGTTTTTGCTGTTTTCAAGGGTAGTTCTTTGCTTTGTTTTTACTGCTTTTCTTTTTATTGATCTGTAGGTATTTTTGGAACTTTCCTCCAAGTTTATCAATTCTGATCATGACCTCTAGAGTGCTTCAAGCTCTTAACTGCTGGGAACCCTTTCAGCTTTTATAAAAGTACTTTCTCTTTCATTGTGCAGGCCATGAATGAAAAGGATGAATAGAATCAAACCTGGACAAAAGTCCGAGGGCCACTCCGTGACATTTTCTCCCCTTGCAACAAGGAATCATTGATAGCTACCCCTGGGGTGCATGCGTGGGTGAGTCACTTTGTTGTCCTTCTCTATCCAGTGCTCTGCCTCATGGAGGTGGGCTCACCTAGTCTGAATTCTCCTGAGTTCCCTTAGAGTGATGGATCTGAGAAAAGACTGCTTTAACTGCCGTGTGCTGGCTGGGGATGTGATGGGCTGTTCTCTAGAGCGGTAATTGTGCCTTGTTTCTGAAGGTGCTGTGTTTTGCAAGTTGAACTTCTCAATAGGACTAACTTAGCCTGTCCCTGAGCAATGCTCAGTTCCCCAGCCCAGCTCCTCTGCTGACAGCTACCAAGGAGCAAGTGTTCCTTCCTGGGGCCACGTGCAGTATGTGTGCCCAGTGGGCACCTCCTGCATGGCGGGTCTTACCATGACTTGTTCAGAGGGTGGGGATGGGAAGAAATGGCCAGCTGCTGAGATGAACTTCCTTGGAGAAGCAGCACACAAAGCATAGAAACCTCTCTGCTTTGGTTGCAGAGGGATGCACATTGGGGAATTTGTGTCTGAAGTGCATTGCTGTATTTTCTTTGTAAATCTGTCCATAGTGAAAGTTAGCCTTGTCTGTATGTAAAATACATTTTTCTTCTCATGCAGTTCTAAGAAAGTTCCTCGTATGGTTACTCGACCCTGGAATAAAACTGGCTTGCTGTGGGTTAATTAATTATAATAATTTTTTTATTCCTGAATGGTGTTTTCCTGTGGGAGCAGTTGCAGAATACCTCATTCCAGCAGAGCTCTGCTTGTCATCTTCTCAGTATGAACTATGCTTAAGGAAGAGGTGTTGCTTTGACCAATGAAATCCATTTAACTAGGGAGAACGTCTCTGTCCAAACAGGGCTGGCTCCAGCTGCCTGAATTTGGTCAGTACTGAGATGCTGTCTTCAGCTTTTTGAAGATTAAGAGACTGATCCTCTTCAGAAGTGCACTTCCATCCACTTATCATCTTTCTGTGCACATCTGTGTAGCTGTAGGTGAAACTTGGCCCCAGCAAATTCAGGGCCAGTTCCTCTGTGTTCTACCTATTCTGCCTCTCAAGGCTTGTAGCTGGAGGTACTAGGCCATTGTTGTTACCTCCCTCAGTGCCTCGAGGCCGTCATCAGCATAGCAGAGGAGCTGTATCCTGTTCTCCTTTATTGCTCCACAACTGATATCAGTGCTCTGACCTAATTATAGTCCCAGGGAGGAAAATTCAGCTTCCCTACAGCATTCCTGCAATTTCTGCTGTAGTTTCCCTCACTTCTCTCAGGGTGGCTGTGCTGCAGCTGTGAAAAGGTTGTGTTCCACACTGGGTACAGCTAAATTTCAGTGGTTGGTAAATGGTAACCTGAGTCCAGGTTGTAAAGCCCTCTGGGCTTCCTGTGATGCAAGAAGCTATGTTTTGTCCTGAATGTGGGTTTGCTGATAATTCTGTAGGATTTTCAGTGGATAAGAGACCTGCTTATGCTGGTTCTCTGCACAGTCAGAATCTCTGCCAAATAATTCAAAGGCCTGCTGCAGAGGGGGAAGAGGAAGATGGACGGGCATTATAAAAACCTGTGGGTCACTGGAATAAGTGGGAAGAAGGTACATACTTATGTTGATCTGAAAGACATGCTAAGCCAGGTGTATATCTTTATGTCCCTAAGGAAAAGCCTTTTTTTTTTTTTTTTTTTAAGCAGCTGCCTATTTAAAACCGAAACAGTTGCTTTAATGAGAGTTTTTAAGGGTTTAACTGTTAATTTTAGAATTTTTTATTTCAAGCATGCTTTCACGAAATTAACTTTTTCAACATAGAACATGTTTATGTCTTCTGTGTTGGTGCTCATTTGCAAGAAATCTAGTGCAATTATTTCTTATGTACCAGTTAAATCTATCAGCCAACAGATGTCAAGAGTAGCAAAAATGCTATAATAATATTATGGTCTAATAATAGTTATAATGATTCTAATTACCTGGCATAGCTTTTGAGAGAGGCAGACGTGGAAATTAGTGCAAATGAAATGTTTAAGGAGAAAATGGGCACTTCTGCAGATGTTTGGGCTGCACCCCCTCCTCCCTATCAGACACCCCATTCCTTTCCTTTCCTCACACAAATAAGAATAGCAATATGGTCTGCTTTAAGTGTTAAAACTTCGTTCTCATTACAGTCAGAGATGGAGAACAGGGTTGGTGAGCAGTAGATGAGCAGGTTTCTTGAAATAGCTTGTGGATGGGAAGCCCGGTCATTTTTAACCTTGTGCTGCAGTCTAGCCTTGCTTTCCTGCTGCCTGATGATTGCAGTGCACACAGATTGATCTCGCCTTGGGAAGGTTGGGGGAGGCTCAGCAGTCTTCATCTTTTATGCAAGCTGGTTGTGCTGCTTTTAAGTGTCAGGGAGGCTTTGACTCAGTCTGAGAAGCACAAAGCCAGACCCCGCTTGCCTTGGTGCTGCCATGCAGCTTTTGTGCTGGCTGCTGTTAGGAAAGGGGGGCTGGGAGGAGTGCAGGTGATTGGGCATGAGTGCTCACTCACTGCTGATGAGGGAAGGGAAGGGGCACAACAGCAGGTAGGGGACAGCCATGTTGTTGGCAGGTTTGGTGCTGCTTTGCCTCTGGCAGCTTGGGCCTGTGTGGGCCATAGCAGAGACTCTGTCCTCCGTACAGGAGGGGTGCTTTGTGCACCAGTTCTTCTGTGCAACTCCTGATTCACCTCCCCTGCTGTATGTTTCCTTTAGGAAGGATCCTGGACTGCTTCTTCATACACTTAGGTGTTTTTTGCCCATCGTTGCTTTGTGCTGTGTGTCTTAGGGGCTCAATGCATAATGAATTCCTTCTTGCCACAGCTGCTCGTTTTAATTCTGCAGAGTGATGTTGGAGAGGAGTCCATGATTCGTGGGGAAGGATCCCACAGAGGAAGCCCAGGATAGGCTGGAAAGTTGACAGCTTTCATGGTTATATGGCAAGCTGAACTTTTTGCCTCTAAATAAGACATTCAGCATGCTGATAAGTCAGCAGGACTACTGGGAATTCAACTGTTGGTTGCTGATCCCCAGCAAGAGCAGCAGCTGTGAATCTTCCGTCATCTTCCTGTAAAAGGACAGATCCAGATGTGCCCTCACAGGGTTTTCTTTTCTCTTTCTTATAGGCTGGCATGCTCTGCTTCTCAAAAAAGTGAGCATCTCACACACTTGGCTCCTTCAGCCCACCTTTCTCATGGGCTGGTACTGGAGAAGGCTCTGCCACCCCCAGTCTTTTCTTGGGGAAGGTTTGCCTTTGTGCTGAGATTTGTACTGCCATCGGCTCCTTCTGTGTGTGAGCTGGTGTATTGCCATGGAGATGGGAGCTGCAGGGTGCAGCCTTTCCCAGACTTGTGTGAAAGAGGATGCGGTCTTGGGCTACCCTTGTTTAAAGAAAATTATTTCTCAGAGTAAATAGTTTGTCTAAGAACAGTTGGCGTTGCCCCAGATGCTATTAAGGAAAAGACAAATCTCGGATCTCCTCAAGCCTGAGCTGTAAAGCTCATGCAATATTCACTTGCTGCTTTGCTTCTCTCAACATCAGACATTGCTCCTCTGACTGACGCTGACTCATTAACCTGTCTGTGCTTTCACCCTAAGAAACCAAAGCTCCCTTTTTATTTTTTCCATGTAAATGTTAGCACAGTATATCTTGTGCTGTCTGCCACAAGAGTGCTTTTCTACATCCCTTTTCTCAGTTTGTTGAGAGTTTGTAACTTCATTGGTCTGAGTCCTCTGGCCTGGTTTCTGAAGGACACATGGGGGCACTGACCTCCTCTTGGCCATTCCTCCCACTCCCTCCTGGTGTGTTTTTCAGCACTGGCCAGTTTCAGGCCACCAAGGAGCTGTCAGAGGTGCAGAGTTCGCCCATATTTGATGAAAATGGGCATCCTTCTCAGTACAGGGGCTGTGTGGATTCGCCTCCTATGGGCACCAGAAGCCTGGGAGGGAGAGTGAGCAGGCCCCACATGTTCTCCAGAGATGGGAAAGCACCAGCAGAGACCTCACTGCACTGCTAGGAAACAGCAGCTGGTTGCTTGTGGCAGAGATGTAAGTGACCCTTTATTAAGCCTATGTGCACGGTTTGATCTTCGCAGCTGAGTTAAACATTCTCAAGTTGAACTTCTATTGCTTTACCACTATTTTCATGCATATTTGGCACTCTGACTTCATGCTTATCAACCTGTGTGACAAGAGCTTGTGGGAGAACACTCTTCACTTTCCACTGCTGTTGCTGTTGCCCTCCCCCTCCCCGGCTTCCCTGCTCCTTGCAGTACTGGTGCTGGGTCTCTCCTGAATGCAAAAGAGCACAGGCACCTCCGGGCTTGTCCAACTGTGCCAGCACACGCCAAGTGCTGGATGAGCTTTTGCTGACTTCCTGGGGGCTTGGGGATGCTGCCCTTTCTGCTCGCCTGGCGCTGGCATATGCTTGCTTTGCTTGGCTTCTGGTACGTGGAGAACCTTCTCAGCAAGGTCTGGAGGAGCCCTCTGGCACCTCTCTGCCTCATTGCCTCCACATCTCATCTCAGTTTTCATCTGTAAACATCTCTTTGCCCTTGCTAAACATTGTGTCTCAATTTCTCTCTGCAAGAGTATTATTTAATTTGTAAATGTTTTAGGACGCTACTTGAAAGATATGATATGAAGCTGTATTTCATTTAGTGTAATGATCCACTAATGCAGGCATATTTCAAAGGCAGGCTAAGCTGTACTGTGGGGTTTAATTAAATTTTATTTTTCAAGTAAGCATCAATAGCTAGACAATAACAAATAGTGGACAGTACACATACAAAATGAATTCACTCCGTTTTCATTCCCGAGACCATGGCAGTGGAAATGCACAGCCCTAAAAATGCACTTGGCCAGCTCACCATTTCTACTGTAGAGTGGTTACTTTTGGAGGACTTTTTTCTGAGTAGTTTGTCTTATGTTTCTTGATCTCTTCCTGCCCACCATATCAACCCTGTTACACTGTGTGCGATTTCCAGTGGCAGCCTTGCGTTGAGTTAGATTCTTCTGGAAGCTCTGAGCATAG